TTTTACGAGTCTAGAGGATTCGTACAAAGCCTAATAAAGTTAAAGCATGACTGCCAAATTAAAAAAAAAAAAAAAAAAAAAAAAAAAAAAAATCTGTATAATTTTAGTATTATACATATAGCTACTTTTGTAATTGTATACAAAAATATTTTAGCTATACAATATATACTGTTTTTTTTATTTGCTATACAGTATAAAGTTGTAAATTATACAGTATACATACAGTAAAATTTAAAAATTAATACTATTTATAATTACTATTTTGCTACAACAAACTGGGTTATTACAAAAGATAACTATATACAGTTAGACTCCTAAATGCACTCTCTTTGCCTTTCTAAATGCATAATATAAGTTCAGGCCCATGGTGGAACTTATAGATAAATGCATATTCTTTATTCTATAAATGCACACTAATTGTCTGGCCCACAAAAACTCACTCCATAAATGCATCCACGTGATTACCGGCCAATAAAATTCATTATTTTTAGGCTACTAAGTCATATTTATCACGTGAAAATAGTTACATTGTGATTTTATTAGTGTTCTCTAATTGCAGCCCTCCCTAAATGCACGCTCTAGAGCTAGTCCCGACAATGTGTATTTAGGGAGGTCTGACTGTATTGAATATTTGTTAAAAATGCAGTAATAATATACAGTAATATATAATTAATATTAGTTATTTCAATAATTCAAAAAATAAATAAACCAAAATAAATTCCTAAAACTTTAGTATTTAAATTGGCATATTAAATAATTCAAAAAATAATTTTAAAAAAAGGTATTAATTGTAAAAAAATATAATCAACTTTATACTAATACAATAAAAAACACAAATCTATTCGATTTTTAAACTAAATAATAGTTAAAAGCTTGTTAAACGTTTAGTCTAGTCAAAGCAAGTCAAAAAATATAAAATTTAACTTTTTTTAACTATCGCTATATACTATTTTTTACTCTAACCATAAATCCTGATTAATACGTATAGAATAACAAACTTTTGGTGGCGCATTTCGGTCTGATTCTTACGTTTTTCGGATTTACTAATTTTGCCTCAATTTTTCTGCATTTTCTATTGGTTGTGTATATCACCTGAATACCTCTGTGGCCAATAGGAACTGCAGAAATGCAGAAAGTGAAGGAAATGCCTTTTGGAATTATCACCGCATATATTTTTCATTAGATCTTGCATACTGATTGGTCGATCAGGGAGTACGTCAAAAACAAAAATTAAAAGATTTTTTATACAGTACTGTATATATATCTGATATAATTTAAATAAATAATGATTGTTTTCATAAATTCATTATTAATAATGTAAACGTTAATAAAAAAAACAATCAAAAATAATCTGTAATTATTTTTAAACAAATTAAGAAATAGTATTTTGTGATAAATTTTAATTTAATCTTTTACGTAATAGTCCAATTGTAAATCCCCGGCATGTTATTTGATCATAATTTACATAATGATGATCTACAGTTTCTAATAAACAACGCGACATTTTTCGCGAACTTTTATATAAGTATATATACGTATATGTGCTAAAGAGTAATAGTGGCTAAACCAGTAAAACGGACATTACTGTTATCCTTAAATTACAAGTTTGTAATCTAGTCTTCGTTAAGCAGAGGAACGCAACGTATTGTATTATATCTAGAAAGTAACAAGAAGTACAGCATAAAGGAATAAAATTGTTCTTGATTCATGACTCATCACTTTAATTTATCAATCTCTCTTTATTATGTTTCGATGGCTTATTACATATGATCGAACGAACGTTTACTGATAGTGGCTGTGAAATATTTTGGCTCCACCAATTTTTTTCTTAATCTAGCCAATAATATGAATCCACATCAGTATAAATATACTATTTTTTTTTTTAATTTAACAATAAACGATAAAGGTCTCGATGACAAAATCATTTCTGATGTTAACGTTAAATAACCGATTATCGTATTTACGTAAATATACTATATGCATAGGAGTACGTGTAATGATGTGCAAGTCAATCAGTTTAGCAATTTTTAGTATAAGTGGCAACACTATTTGGTTTATCAAAAATTCATATATATCCAATTCAAACTATAAATTATTTGAAAGGAAAAAATTTTTTTGTAACTTAACTAAACTCTTTTTCTGCAATAGTAAATAATATTAATATTAATAAAAGAAAGAGACTATTTACTACTACTATCTAAATCCTGGTCGATAGATAGGATGTCGCCGTCATTATATAGGAATCGAAAAGCCGGTTGGGAAAATTTTCGTAATTTTTCGGGGTTTGAACAATTTCAAAAGGCATACGCTTCTGGGGATTATACCACCGCGATCAAGTTTTTGGAATCACTATTAAATTCTAGCCAAAATGTTAATGGTGAACCTGGAGTTTCACACGAACACATCCTCTTAGCTCGAGCAATGTGTTTTCAACAACTTCGTGAATTTAGACACGTTCTTGCTGATACTAAAGAGGTTATCAGGACAATCAGTTCACAAAATAATTCTTTTCAATCAAACGGATCTTTAAACGGTCACAATATTAATTATCAATCTATTGATCAGTACATTTGTTATTTATTGGCGCTTTGGCTTCGGAGTTTGGCATACGAATCTCTCGAGAAATGGGAACTGGCTAAAGCTGATCTTGAATTATTAAAGAAACTAATCCTTGGAAAAACGATAAAGGGCATTGCGTCTGGTTCAAATGGCGTCCTTTCCTCACTTATACCAAATATGGATCCGTTGATCGTCCTATCGAAGTCATCCTCTCCAACTATTAATATGCATTGTGTCGTCGAGCGCCTTCGTCGAATGTCCGATTTAGTTGCAAAAGAAAATTCGTGTCGTAACAGCGTAACTCAGGCATTCCGCCTGATTGACGATGATTCGAGCGCTTACAGCGATTTGGCAAAAAAGTTTCATTATCGACTACTTCTTAGGCGACCGTTACATCCAAATATTCATTTAAATATGTGGTATACAATGGATCTTATGTTTGTTAGTGAAATGGGTTTATTCAAAAGAGAGGATATGTATGGTTTAGAGGGTTATGCTCTAGAAATCAAGATGTTGGAAATTGGAAATGAGGATGCAATTGACGAATTTGAAATCCAAGTTAGACCAATGAGTCCTGAAGCATGCGAGTGGAGTGGCTTGACTTCTACTGATTGGGCTGGTGTACAAAGTTGCGGTAAAGGTGGTTTGGAATTTCGCATTGTTCCTGCCAATTTTAATAATGGATCTGATGCAAAAAAGGTGTCTGTATCTAAGAGTAGAAATAAAAAGAATAATTTACATTCTAATAATATCCGGACAAGATTTTTATATGTATATCCAACAATGAAGATTGTATCTAATAATAATAGTAACAATCACTATTATGATGATGATAATAACATATTCATCAATGGATCAAAAACAATTGATAGAACTTATCACGTGGACGAGCATCTACTTGTTCCTTTGGCCATCGGTCCAATTCATTTGGTGGACTGTCATCGACACTCAGATTCCTGTGCTAATCATCATACCGCTAGTGGTATCGCCTGTATTTCTACTGACTCTCAAACTGTTGTTTCAGCGAATGATCCTAAATTCCAAATTTCATCATCTTTACTGAGCTCTTCTCACTCCTGGTCGCCCCCACCAGAATGTCCACCTCAATCCTCTAAATGCCTTTGGAGTACTGATGAATATATTATTCATAGTTACCGTGCATTTTTCCTCCCAAATGGCAAACATTTGATTATTAAAGAATTGTGGGACATTGGAATTCCTGGAAAAGTTTGGGATTCTGCGTTTGTAATGGTTAAAATGATTAGGGACAAGATTCTTAAAGACCGAAAATTGCTTGATGGTAAAAAAATTTTGGATTTATCAACAGGGACTGGTTTTGTTGGCCTTTATTTGGCTGCTTTTATGGCAAGTCTGAAAAAAAGAGGAAAAAGGAATGGTGTAAAAACGCGCGTTATCTTGACCGATTTAGAACATGCATTAAACCTTATCCGTGACAACAATTCTCTGAATAAGCACGTCTTAGAGGTGGTCAACTGCGTATCGATCGAAATTGAATCCTTGAAGTGGGGCGACTCGTCGAAAGCCAAACAGCTAGGTGTTGTTGATTATGTGCTTGCTTCAGATGTTGTTTACGAACCCGGTAAGGAATTATGTGTTAATCACTATTAATTTAATGATAATCAACCTCTAATCGCAACCACTGTTTCTCTTGTAGATTTATTTGACTCTTTAATACAGACGTTAGTTACCGTATGTACTCCTGGACACACAAAGATATTCCTCGGCTATAAAAGACGGGGATTGACTAAAGAAGAAGAAAGGAGTTTCTTTAGCAAATTGCAATCAAAATTTAGAATGTCTTTACTTCCGGACTTGGAGAATGCTGCAGATGAAGGACAAATCTATATTTACGAGCTGAGTAAATGATTTACATACGATAGACATTTGGAAATTTGTGACGAATTATCGTATTAGGTATACTATATTTTTTTTTTTCTCATGACCTTTGCACTTTTTGTATTTATAGCTTACTCTAGTAATTAATATTGACAAATATATTTTAATAGATAATTCGAAATGGAATTTGATTGGCCCGTCCTTTCGTTTTATTGCAATTTGAAGAAATAAACATCTTTACTATTTTACTGTCAGGAAGAAAATTTTTAATGAAGATTTAATTCAATGTTTATATACTTGTAGTACTGCTAATATAGAATATAATTGTTAATCAATCTCTATTACTATGGCTGTGAGCAAATTCTGCTTGTAAAATATAACGACAGGATATGTTAGAAAATGTAAATTTAGAAATCATTGGAAATGATAATTTGGTGTTATAATTTTTAAAAAGTCAAACTTTGACAAATATATTTTACCGTGTATAATAGATTGATTCGCGTTTTCTAAAGTCAACTTTTCGATGGTATAAACGGTCGTTGATTCTTTAAAGGCAAGGTTGTTTTTCGGGTTTATTTTAATAGGTATTTACTAGATTTAAAAACCTTGATATTTGTCAAGATAATTTGTAGTAATTATGGTAAGTAGATGCGAACTATCGTTTTACTAACAAATATTTTATTTAAACCAAATATCTTAAGTTTTTACCACCGTATAATATAAAAATACTGTATAATAAATATATATTTTTTATAACATTATTAATGTTGTTTATTAATATTGAATAATTATTAGCTTTTTTATATGCTGCAATTAATATGTTAATTTATACGTTTGTGTTTTTGGTTTTATATATAGTACGTATTAATGTTAGTTTTTATTATAAATTATAATTATAATAATTTATACGTATATTTAGCATATATATATATATATTGTATATACTTCTATTATTACGTACTATTATTAATAGAAACTAGAATTTTATTTATTAGTAATATGAGTTATAAATACTTTTTATAAATAAGCATTTGTCTAATTTAAATAGATTGTTTAAAAATTTTATATTATTGCTATATTTATAATTTATTTTTTTATTTTATTTTATTTTTAGTTTTATTTGGTATTAAAGCAAGGCCTTGCTTATATTTTTATTAGATAATTTAGTAACATGCAAGAATAAAAGCTTAGATTAGAAGCTTAGCCAAAGTTAGACTAATTATCTACAATCTAAATCTACTAGAGTGGTTAAGATTCATCTAGATTTTAATAGTTAGTATAAAGTTTGTAAAAGTATTGCATTGTATTTATTCTGTAAACTATTAATTGAATTTCTGTTGTGTTTGTTTTTTGAAAGGGTAGTTGTTATTATTATTGTGCTATTGGTCTGGCAAGCTACAAGAGCAACTATAGATAAATTTTTTTCGTAGCTTTTGGTTTAAGCAGTGGGCCTGTCTTTGTATTGCCTGGTTTTTTTGATTGTAGATATTGCTTTTTTTACTTTGCAAATTTATTGCAATATAGTTTTTAGAGTACAACTCTTTCTAATGATTACTTAGATCAAAATTTTCTATTAAAGAAAAACTTAACTTTTGTTGAAGAGTTATAGCCTAATGTAGTGGTTTGTTTAGAAGTTAATATTTTTTTCTTTTATGAAACTCCTTTATAATAGACATTTAGCATACAAGCCAAGAGTATTAGCATATAAGATAACTGGCAGATAGGGCTCTTGTATATGAAAAGACAAAAGTCTTTTTTGTTAACAAAGCTCTTAGACTATTACTTTAAAGAAAAATACAAAAGAAACAACAAGAGTTTTGTTTTTTCAGCATACTTTTTTGGATTTTTTAAGTATACAGTACTTGCAACTATAAAACTTTTTATCTTCTAGCTATTCTTTTTTCAATTTTTTTACAAAAAGTAGACATTTTTTTTTTTTGGAAACAATTTGGCAATCTTGATTAGGCTTGATAATATTATACTAAGAAATATTACAAATTTTTGAAAAATGAGTTTCTAAAGGTTAAGTTTTTATGATGCCTAAATTACAAGTATTAGCTTATCTGGCTCTTTGTAACCAAAGTTCAAATTACCCATGTATGATCTGCTATAGGCAGAATTCTCCTTCATAATATTCCCTTCTGCACTTGAAAAAAAATAAAACTTCACTGAAAGGTTTCTACCGGCCTATCAAGACTATCTATTTCTTCTTTAAAACTTTTTCCACCTAGATTCAGGCAGAATAGTTAATCTCTTACTTTTCTATAAGAAAAAATATATATACCACATTTATGAAAAAAAAAAAACTATATCTAGAAAAAGAAAGAGAAAAACAGAAAAAAAAGATATAACCGAAAAAAAGATAAATCCTAAACAGATTTCTAACATAATAGGAAGAAGATGAAAAAAGCAAAAAAAAAGAATAGGATAGTCCTGATAGACGCACCCAAAGAAAGAAAAAGAAAATATATTGTTATAACCTGTACCAGGTAAGTATAAAAATTATACAGTGCAGACAATCTAGTCCTAACCAATATAATTGATGAAATTCAAATTGCTAATCCTTTTTTAAAAAAAATAATAAAAAAAAAATACTATCTTAATTGGTAATCCACTAGTCAACCAGAGAATAATCATAGTAAAAAGTAACTCAAATTACTATATAAATTTACTATAGTGTAAATGTGGCGTGCATGCATCTAAAACTTTTTTTATACTAAGTTAATCATCTTTCTAACTTAAGAGACTTTTGTAGAGCTTGTCAAGACGCATCTAATGGTGGTTAGAGCATCAAAATTGGCTTGGTGAGTGTCGAAATATCTTTAAAAAATGTTTCTTTTACTATTGTTACAATACTATGGCCTTCTTTGTAACCACATAGCACAGTAACAAGGTTATCCGATGCAGGGATTCTGCTACTGGAATATACACGGGGTGGATATAAAGTACAATTAAGTATCTACAGCAGAAGGTACGCAGTTCGGTATTAGGATAGTGTATTTTAAACTTTTATTATTGTAGGACAAGATGATAATCTCTTTTAGAGATCCTAAAGAGAGTTATACATTACAAGAGAGAATTACAAGACTAATTCTACATGAGAGAGAGGTATTTGAGATCTATCTAAGAGCTATAGATATCTGTATTAACTTGTCTAAGATTTATATAAACCTATATAAGATCTATCTT